CGAATACTTGACCAATACAAATCATTGTTTTTTTTATCCAAAATATTTTAACATTGACGAACAAATTTTGTTACCCGACACTAGATGTCCCATTAATAACATTATGCTATTTATAATCAAACAATTTCAAGGGTTTTAAGTTGACTTTGTCGTACTTTATCTGCTACTGCTACACAAGCAAAATACATAAAATTATAGTAACTTAAAATAATTGTTGAAAAAATTATTGGAAATCGCATGAGTAAGTACAACGAAAATTCCCATAATTCATATTGTTTAGGCCAAATTGTAACGACTTAAAAAGCTTGCAAAACGATCGTCTCGGGCGGGGAACCAATTTGGCGGTGCGCGGGGGGCATTCTTGTGCGGCCTGCGGCCTCGCCTATCTATAGTATTCGATTGTACGCGACGGCCGTATCGACTAGAGGTCGGGAGTTACGTAAAAATCGTTGCATTAAGACTGCCTCCTTTGTGTTGTCTCCTTTTATACGTATACGTGACAACGAGGCTTTCCTTGAGTTTGAGTGATTAATGTAACTTCGATTGCCATTAATTTGCGTCGACGAGTGGCTCGTGTAGTGTTTTAATATCGTACGAAGAAATTTTTGCTTTGTCGGGAGGAACGCTAAATTTTGTGATCCGGGAGGAGATCGCGTTTCTCTTTGATTATAGTTTGTGCTAAGTGACGTTAGACTTGAGTTCAGATAACGGTGAACGCCCACTGGAGTGATTGCACCTTGTGGAGCAGGGCAGCGCATGTGGTTCTGCTAGCCGATTACATCGGTGACGTCAGGTTACATTACACACATTCCTACACCACTCACACCTACCATTTATTTACCCCTGACGATACCTTGTGGTCGACCCTACCTCCGGAACTCGGTAAGTTTGTGATTGCTTGTCCAGCCATTACATAATAATTATCCATAGGCCATTTGGGCCCTAATCCTCGGTTGCTCATCGAGTTTGGCTACGATGGGCCCTAGCCCAGTCGACTTTTGTCGGGGTAACTGAGGCCCGTAACACATATTAAGGTCAACCGGCTACGCGTAGACAGCGACGAACATCCGCGCGTCTACGGGTGCCTCTATAGGCCCCATAGTGGTAATACCGAAACAGACCGACTCTTCGACCACGTCCAAATGGCTACAGATTCGTTGCTACAGCAGATGCCCTCCGCAGATATCGTGATCCTCGGCGACTTTAACGTCCATCACGCCGAATGGCTTGGTTCACGTTTAACAGATCATGCGGGGAGATCTGTTCATGATTTTGCCTTGGCATTTGATCTGACACAACTGGTTACTTTGCCTACGCGGATTCCAGATGTGGAGGATCATGCACCTTCCCTGTTGGACCTTCTGCTGACCTCCCGATGACCCGGACGGATATCAGATTTCCGTCGACGCCCCTTTAGGCTCCTCAAACCATTGTCTTGTCCGAAGTGTGGTGCCTCACTCTACTCACGCTGAAATCGCAGTTGCATTCTGCAGGCTGCCGCCGTGTTTGGCACTATAGGTCAGCCGATTGGGATGGGATGCGGTTTTTCTTTGCATCCTACCCTTGGGGGCGGGCTTGCTTCTCGCCGGACGATCCCAACGTTATTGCGGATTCTGTCGCTGATGTGGTACTTCAGGGTATGGAACTTTTTATTCCTTCCTCTGTGATGCCCATTGGAGGCAAATCTCAGCCATGGTTTGGTCGCTTTTGTAAAATATCATCATGCTATAAGCAGGAGTGCTACCAAGCCTGGGATAACGCATCAGCGTCCCGGGATGTAAACATCAGCGCTCTTAAAAAGAAGTATGATTCCGCCTCTAGGTCCTTCAAAAGAATCATTGCCAAGGCAAAGTCAGAGCACATAGGCAGAATTGGCGAGAAACTAGTTCGCCTTCCTTCTGGAACCCGTGCATTCTGGTCTCTCGCCAAGGCTGTCCAGGGGAATTTCTGTCAGCCATCTCTTCCATCTCTGCACAGGGAGGACGACTCACTGGCCCATACCGCAAAGGAGAAAGCCGATCTTCTAGGCTCTTTCTTTGCGTCCAACTCGACTCTCGATGACGGGGGGAGTACGCCGCCGACCATCCCGCGGTATCCACAAATCGATTGGGCCTGACGGAATCCCCCCCAATTGTGCTGAGGACGTATGCTCCAAAGTTGGCACCGGTTTTAACGCGTCTTTTCCGGTACTCCTACTCCCTAGGCGTAGTCCCAAAATCATGGAAGACGGCTTTCGTCCACCCGGTCCCTAAAAAAGGCGACCGCTCAGACCCGTCCAACTACCGGCCTATCGCCATCACCTCCTTGTTCTCCAAAACAATGGAGTCCATTGTAAACTGCCGGCTCATGAGGTACCTTGAGGATCACCAGCTGATTAGTGACCGCCAATACGGTTTTCGCCGTGGTCGGTCAGCTGGTGATCTTCTGGTCTACCTAACTCACAGATGGGTGAAGACAGTAGAGACCAAGGGGGAGGCATTGGCCGTTAGTTTGGACATTGCGAAGGCCTTCGATCGGGTTTGGCACAAAGCGCTTCTTTCGAAGCTCCCTTCCTATGGGCTTCCCGAGAAATTGTGCGATTTGATCACCAGCTTTCTTGCAGATCGGAGCATCAAGGTCGTTGTAGACGGTGCAAGCTCCGATTGCAAGCCTATTAATGCTGGTGTTCCACAAGGCTGCGTGATATCGCCAACGCCGTTTCTTCTGCATATCAATGATATGTTGCAAACTGCTATGCAGACGACAGCACTGGTGATGCTCTTTACACCGGCCGAGCCAATATTTCTCGGGAAAACGTCTCCGAGTGACGGGACAAACTTGTCTCTGAAGTCGAGTCTTTGCTGAACAGAGTCTCGGATTGGGGGCAACTAAATCTAGTCCAGTTTAACCCCCAGAAGACACAAGTTTGCGCGTTAACCGCTAAAAAGAACCCTTTTGTCGTATCTCCTCAGTTTCAAGGCACTCCCCTTGTTGCCTCAGCCAGTATCGGAATCCTCGACGTCGACATATCGAGTGACGTGCAGTTTCGTGGTCACTTGGAAGAGAAGGCCAAATTGGCCTCTTAAAAGCTTAGCGTGCTCAGCAGAGCGGGACAGTATTTCATGCCGGCACACCGCCTGCAACTTTACAAGGCGCAGGTTCGGCCGCACATGGAATACTGTTCCCATCTCTGGGCTGGGGCTCCCCAGTACCAGCTCCTTCCACTTGACCGCATCCAGCGCAGAGCGGCTCGAATCGTCGACGACCGAGTGCTTTCCGATCGGCTCGATTCACTGGCACTGCGAAGAGATGTTGCATCTCTTTGCATTTTGTTTTGCACATACCATGGGGAGTGCTCTGAGAAATTGTTCGGATTAATCCCAGCCGCCAAATTTCGTGAACGCACTACGCGGCAAACGTCCCGATACCATCCACATCATCTGGATGCTTGGCGGTCGACCACTGTACGTTTCAAAAGGAGTTTTCTTCGCGAGTACAACCTCTATGTGGAATAGTTTACCACCGGTGATTCTTCCGGACCGATACGACCTGGGGACCTTCAAGAAAAGAGCTTACTCCTTTCTAAAGGTCCGGCAACGCACCTGCAATTCACCTGGTGTTGCGGTTGATCATGGGCGGCGGTAGTTACTTAACATCAGGGGAGCCGCATGCTCGTTTGCCCGCTCTTCTATAAAAAAAAACCGGGGCTAAAGCGTCACAATAGTTTGAATGGCATATTTATTTAATTATAACAAACATATTATATGCCCCTAAAAGCTATAACTTTTGAAAAAAGTTAGAAAATTTTATGAAATTTTATATTTTAATACATTTTCATGGCTTTTCGAATGACTTCTACGAGTCAATGATGTTTCTGCGAAAGCTGGGATTTTAAGACGCAATAACCCCAAGTGGGGGAAATGCGTCTGAAACTAGTATCATGTGCTTGGAAGCAGGGATGTAACGGAGGTAGTTTTATCGGAATCGAAGGCGGAGTCGGAGTTTTTAAATTTGCTTGATCGGAGTCGGAATCTGAGTCGGAGGCAGGGTCAGAAGTGGCATGAGAGAGAATTTTTATTTAAGGACAAATAAAACATTATTTAGTCAACTTTTTTTCATTACATTTTTCAATTATAAAATAAAACACAAACAATGAAAAAAATATGACTTATTTCCAAATAAACAAGTAATTAAAAGAAATGAATTTAAACCCAAAGTAGAATATTACATTATATTAAATGAACAAAAGCTTTAAAAAGACTCCAAAACTAGTGTATTATACTTTATGAACAAAAGCTTTGAAGCTTTGTCTCCGTCTAATCTATTTCTTAAAGAGTCGTAGATTAGGCCAGCGCCACTAAAAAGTTGTTAGCTCGCTACCGAGCCTGGTGGACACAACAAATATTGGAGGGCAATCGATTGAAGGGGCTGGAATTTTGTATTTCCATTTACTTTCCACCACAATAACGGATCATCACTAATACTTATACGTTTTTCTTTATTGAATTCATTTAGTATACTTTTCATTACAACAAATTTGTCAAAAACTGCACATTTTTCAGATGTGGTATTATCATCGTCTTCATCAATACTTAATAATATATTCGACAAAACTGTTTGGACATTACTATGGCTAGCTTCTGCTGGTAATTCCATTCTTGCCCATTTTCTACAGGAACGGCAATATTATCACCATCGTTTTTAGATATATCTGCATCAAATAGTGAACATTATTTCTGTTTCAATCTTTTGTTTAACCACTTCATTAAAATTTTTTGTTTTATAGCGAGGATCTTGATATGTTGCAAAGAAATTGTTTGATTGAAGGTCACCAAATTTGGAATTTAATTGATCGACGGTACATTTTATTATACTTTTAAATTTTTCATTTGTGCCTTGTTTACTGCCTTCAGTGTGTAATGTATACTTTAGTGTGTGTATAAGTGGCATTACTGATGAGATACTAGTGTTATTGTCACTCATATTTCGGGTAATTTCTTCAAAAGGTTAAAGTATAGTCACTATTTTTTTAAGCTGCAGCCAATCTTCAGGAGACAACTGAGAGATGTTGTGTTTACATGCGTACAGGCATAGGGAATTTTAATAATTCTTTCCAACATATAAAATATATTGTTCCACCTGTAACAAATTAATTAAACTAATTAACGCTTATAATTTACACAAATTTACAGTATAACTTAAAGTATTATTTAAATTTTAATTAAATGAATGACAAAAACTAAATAATACATTCATTGTAATCAGCGTGCATATACCACAGCAAGTTTTGATAAAATCGATTGAATGGTTTTATTTGAATTTATTGAATTTTATTGTATTTGCATGGATTTTTGATTGAAATGAAATAATCTGGAGGTAAAAATAAATGCACAAATTAATACAACTTACCGCACTCTACACTCCTGTATTACACTCAAACATTCTTGGTTGAGTTGTTCCTTTTGTATTTTATGCAGTTCAGTCTGAGCTATTCGGGAATGATTAAAATGCGTCAATTTTTTTTTGCATTTCGATAATAAGGCTTTAATTTCTTCATTACAATCTAACGATGTTCGCACACACAGTTGCAACTGATGTACAGTGCAACTGACATCAGGTATGTCGCCGAGTTTCATTGCTCGTTTCATATTAGATCCAGAGTCGCGTACAAAACAATGAATTTTCTATTTTATGGTGCCCCATTCCATCAACATACTCTTAATTTTTTCTAGAACTAGGTCTCCTGTATGTCTTCCATCAAATGTGTGGCATTTTAAAATAACTTTTAGCCTTTTAAAATCTCTATTTATGCCATGCGCTGTCAGACTCAATAAAGACACATTCGAACTTGGTTCGGTCCAAATGTCTGTTGTAAATGAGATCTTTTCAAATTGTGTGAGCAAATCCTGAACTTTTTTTGCTAATGTTTCATATAAATGACCACAAATATTTTCAGTAAAAAATGTCTTCCTCTTAAGTGATAATTCGGCACAGTGAACTGCATAAGTCGCCGAAATCCTATATCTTCCACAAAATTGAAGGGTAGATCTTGCAAAGCAATCATTTCAGAAATCAATTTGTCAATTTCCATAGATTTAGCATTAAAAGTGCACCATTTTGTATTCTTCAGCAAAGTTTCTTTTAAAGTAATTTGTTTTTTAGCATCCTGAAGGGGCGTCGAATTAACTTCAATGAAGTAGTTCCAAATACAACTTGATTTAGGTTTCATTGTCCAACACAAAAACAGATTACTTTTATTGATAATAAGCCACAAAAATCAAAACAAATATCTATAACCTACGAACGTGTCGTGTGCGTAACAAATTAACAACAAGTGAAAAAATAATTGACGATAGAGTGCACGTAGTGGTAGTCGGGGGGATTCCCCGCGCGACATATATGTATTGGAAGAGCTAATAACAATTTAAATAGAGATAATTTAGAAAAGTATTAATAACATAGGTTACTATTATCTTGTTACCAAATTCTGTGCTAAGTTTAGGATAATTAGTTGAACAAAAATATTCGGGGCTATTGCGTCTATTTTTTTTTCTTGTAGACGCATTTACCCCATCCAAGATTCCAGGGGTACCAAACATATTTTTTTTTCTAATAGGTTCGAGTATTTAATTATTTTAATTTGGAATCAAACCACAATTTTAAATTATTTATGATTTATTACAGTAAGTAAATAAATCTAAAATCACTCACTGAATATTGTAATTTTTTAAATTTTCTTTAAAAGTAAGATGACCTCTGCGAGATATATCAGGTTTCTTAGGGAACATTACAATATCATCGTAATGATTAATTTCCGATATATCCTTCACATCTAGATAGTGAAAAGACATAAATCTACTATTCTTCATTTTTCTTAAGAATTTCACGTTGGGTAATTGGGTATATAATTTTCATTAACAGAAATGATGTTTCCTATGAAATACTTCACAGATTTTTTTGTTGTAAATCGCACTAGTATCCCGTCGTGAACTTTGGATTCCTTGTGCCGACATCTGGTTAAAATTTGTCATTTCTTACAATATTTGCATCATGTTTTGAAAAATAACCAACAGTTTTATTTTCGTTTCCCACGCACAAATTATCTAAATCTTCCATTTCTGCTAAATACTGTTTACGATAACTATCAACATCTTCACAGCTTATATCAGATTCGTCAAAACTAATATCTGCTTCATCTTCAGATTCTTCGTCGTAATCAATGTACTTTTTTTTTAATGATAATTAATGGTGGCAATTTATCACCAGCAGCGCTGGCAGCGAACAAGATCGTCACGTTATCTTTGCCAGATGATGCTATAGTTCTGGTACTGGCAAATCCACGGACACCAACAATTTTTGTTCTATCTGGGTCATTTCCAAAACTTGACTCGTCAAGATTCCAATTTTTTCTGGTCTTCCTTTTAAATCTAATTCATTCAAAACTCCTTCAAGGATATTAAAGTACTCGTTAACTATAAAAGGATCACATGCCACTTTTCTGGACAACTCCACCGCTTGTGGCTTTTTAAGGACAAATTGTCTTTTTTTGAAAGCAGCAAACTAATCATATCCAGGTCGGTTGTTTTTACATGGGGTAAGTAATTATTTCGACTCACGTGTACGATAACTAAATCAAGTGTTTCTTTAGAATAAGACCGAATCCATATTTTTCCGTAACTCGCAGACCATTAGCAAGCTTAAGCTCATTGTCTCTGTCAATCGCGGTAGATGGTTCACGACCCTCTTTTGAGACACCTCTTTTGTTATTCACTCTATCACATATGAGTTTGGTACGAGTTTATTTTGCCAGTTTTAACTTCCTCTACAGCTTTTTTTTTAAGTTTCAAGATCATATGTAGTGGTTGTTTTTCGTTTGTAGTGACGAACCATGTTGGAAAACCTAAAGGAAATTGAGTTAACGCAAAATAATATATTATAAAATACATATAGGTAGTGTTTTTTTTTAACTGGCACTGTATGGGAAAATCGGAAACCAGAGAGAAACTAAGCTAGAGATGGTGAAAATGATATGATGATGATACGTGGTAGAGCCACGCTGCAGCTATATTACGGTTTTAGCACGAATGAGTGGGCTCGAGGGGCGAAGGACCACGCTATCACAGAATACCAGCGTTAAATATAGCAGCTTAATACTGCTGTGTTTCGTATGGTGATTGTAGAGATACGGAGACCCTTTTTTAGTGGAAACGATTCATTCCATCTTAGTCCTCAGGGGGACAACGTATCTGCGATTTGATTATCGAAAATAAATGTAGATGTCTATGGGACATAGCATCCACTTATAATCAGGTGTACTGTGTGCTTGTTTGTCAACCTTATTCAACGAGTGCTGGGACTCGTAGAATAAAAGTGTGGTGATTCCGCTGTTGAAGTGTTCTTCTAGTGCAGGAGAGTATTTATGGGGAATTATTGTGGTTTATTGCTTCTGCAGAGAAAAAAAATATAAAAAAATATAAAAAAAAGAGAAAAAGTGAGAAAAAAATAATTCTTACTATCAAACTTAATCGAAAAACAGTCTAAAAAAAAAGAGAAAATAAGTAAGAAAAAAATTGGTTCTTGCTATTATTGAAGGGCTTATGCCGATCCAATGATATGACTACAGGATAATAGTGATTCTGGACTAGCAGAAACAATAAGAGAGTTTTGAAGGGCATGTTGCCGGACCAAAACTGATTAGTGTTGCAGGGTTCAAAGGAACCGGTCCAATACTAATTGCCTGAAGGGTCGATGTAGACCGGACCAGAGCTGATTGTTAACACCTGGAGGTTCAATATTGACCGTACCAGAACGTATGGTCGAATGTGTAAAAGTATATGACTTTTGTCAGGATAATCGAACGATGTTTTTCTGTCTACAAATAACTAAGATTGTGATGGAGCGCGTGCGAGAACACACGCATGTCAGTATGGCCGTGTCGGCAACTGCGCCTTTGCACGTTCAGCAGCGCCTCTGTGGCTAGTCGGAATTATTGTAAACAACACGTGCATCGCACACCTGTGCGTTGCACCTGCAGTGGCGCTCATGTAGCTACTAGTCTCGATTGTATAAAACTAAAATTGTTCAAAACGAATATAAATCAATAAAACGCTACAGACTATAAACTATAAATTTCTAGCATGCTATTAAATATGCTATGTTATAGCGCGCTATTTATAAGAAAGCGTGTAGGAGGCCGGCAAGCGTACAATTTATAGTTGATTATCTCTGATCTATGTATTTCATGATTTTATGAAGTGATGATAAGGTTTTCCATGATAAACCTAGATTTTAATATCTTCCTATAAGTATGTTAAAAGTGAAGATTTAAAGTTTCATGTTGTTAGTATTAATAATATCACATAAAATATACACAAAAGGAGTACTATATGTTAAAAGAGAATTAAAATCTATAGGTCGAGGAATATAAGGAGGAAGGTAATCATAAAGGGAGGAGGATAATTTGGGACAGTTGAAAAAAAACCACATTCACACAATGAGCTATCCCTTACTCTGATTTTTGCCAGATGTACAAGCATGTCCAATTCTCAATCTACGAATGATTGAAGTTGCATGTTTATTTGCTTTGATAAATTTAAAGAACCAAGGCTTGGGAGGAATAACCTCTTGGATGGCAGGATAGTGCTTACCCTTAACATTCTTGGATACTTCCCACAATTTATTCCAATTTTCATTCAGTTTTCTTTTACCTAGCAAAATTAGGTCATGTGAGTAAATTAAATTTTGTAGAATGCCATAAGCAATTGCATTTTTAGCGAGTACATCAGCTGTTTCGTCACCTTGGATACCACTGTGGCCTGGGCACTGAAACATGGATTCCTTTTAGATGGCATCTGAATAGGGTATTTTTTATTTTTAAATTAGTGGAAATTTATGTTTGTTATGGAATTGATTGGACAAAATAGCTAACAAGCAACTTTTTGAATCTGTGAAAATAACTGTTTTATTAGGATTATGTGACTCGACATATAACAAAGTTTAACTGATTGCAGTTGCTTCACCGATAAAAGTGGAGGATAGTGAGGGGAATTTAAAGTTAAGAATGATTTTGAACTTAGGAATCCAAACAGCAACTCCTGTATAGTCTTTATCAGACTGTTTGGAAGCGTCTATGTACATGACTAGCCAATCTTTATCTAATCATTTCTTTTAATTTCAAATTTGCCATTGGAGAATACTTTTCTATACCTAGGTCTCGATGAATGTCAGTTTGTAAACAATAGCCTCATTAGGAACATCAAAGAGTGGATTAATTTTACATTGAAAGATTGTGTAAGGAAGCTGAAGAAAAATTACAAAACTTTCAAACAAGCAGGGAGAATCCTTATGGGTCCAGAAACGGTCAGATGAGATATATACCCTGAAAGCAGATGCAATTTAGGAATTAGGGGATGATCTGAAAGCTGGCAGATCTTAAATAAGAATCTGTCTGAAAGATATTGCTTTCTCAATCTTAAAGGAGGATCGACGCACTCAACCTGAAGAACATTTATTGGTGAGAATTTCATTGCCCCTGTAATAATGCGAAGGCATTTTGATTGAATTTTACCCATTACTTTCAGGGTTGATTTATTGCAAGGTTCCAAGAGAAAACATCCATAGTCAAGGTGGCTTCGTATAAGAGCATTGT